TGTAGCTAATCTTTTTTCCTTCCATGTGAGTTTTGAATTATAATAATTGGGTATAAAGTTGCTGAAACAACTCATATTCTTTGTAATAATTAAATTCTTCACTTTTCACAATCAGAATTCATGTTAAATCATGATTATCATCACTGATATTAATACATTTTCTGAAACCAGATTGGATAAACTGTCAGCAGAGACGCTGTGCATGATGCAGTTTTAGATGAGATGAAACACTATGGCTAATGATGATGACTGTTTTTGTTACTAAACAGTTTGGGGTTATATTATATTTAAATTGTTGGGACTTTACTTTTACTTTGTTTTTGTTTTTAATGTTATCAGTTTCAAACATATATTTCTTGGTGTCTTCTGGTTTCATAATTTAGGATGGCCCACAGGTGAGAGAGAGAGAGAGAGAGATACATACATACAAACATACATACATATATATTTCTCTCTAACCTCTGTGTGTCTTATGTGTCTTCCTCAATCTCAGGTCCTCTACCAGAGGCCTGGGAGTTTGAGGGTTCTGCGTAGCATCTTAGCTGTTCCTAGTACTGCACTGTTCTGCACAGAGACCTCTGATATTGTTCCTGGGATCTACTGGAGCCACTGTCCCAGCTTAAGAGTCACAGCCCTGAGTGCTCCTACTACCACAGGAACCACTTTGGCTTTGACTTTACACATCCTGGTACTTCTCCAGCTTCTCATGCTCCTTCTTCCTGATGTTGCTGTCACTTGGCCCTGCTACATCTATCCCCACCACTGTCTTCTGGTCCTTGTCTACTACCACAAAGTCTGGTTGATTGGCCAGTACCTGCCTGTCCGTCTGGATCTGGAAGTCCCACAGGATCTTAGCCATTATTCTCCACTACCTTCTGTGGAATCTCCCATCTGGACTTGGGGGGGTCTAGCTGTGAAGATGTTCCTATACACAATGCCAACTACTTGGTCGTGCTGTTCAGTGTATGCTGTTCCTGCCTGCATCTTATACCCTGCCACTATGTGTTGGACTGTCTCTGAAGCCTCTTCGCATAATTTTCACCTTGGGTCCTGTCTAGTGTAGTAGACCCCTGCTTCAATAGATTTGGTGCTTAGTGCCTGTTCTTCTGCAATGAGAGTTTAAGTCCAGCACTTTCAGCCACTGGTAGGATTTTCCAATATCAGGCACCTCACATATCTGTCGATAGTACATCCCATGCAGGGGCTTGTCTTGCCATAGTATTTCCTCCGCTTGAACTTCCTCCCATGTCTGCTGGTGCCTGAGGCAATCTCTCCGGAGCTCATCTTTGGGGGCCACCT